AGACACCACTCACCAAAGTAGGATGCAGAACATTTTCTTAATAAGCTTTGTTATGCCAGTTGACCTAGATGTCCCCTGAAAGCATGGTCCCCAGACCCCTGCCACTCTGTCCCTCAAAGTGTTTGATTGTATTCAGGAAACTTCTTAGCTTTGCTTTAGTCCAGTTGTGCTGACTTCCCCTGTAGTGCGTGTTGCCTTTGCCTTCACCTAAGATAATTATTATCTACTATCTAGTTAGTGAATAACCCTCACCCTCCCTCCCCACCCTCGCAACCATCAAAGAATGTTGTCTTCTGTATTTAAACCTTTTCTTGAGTTCTTACAATAGTGGTCTTATACAATATTTGTCCTTCTGTGACTGACTAAATTCACTCAAGAATGCTACCTTCTTATCATTGGCTGAATATAACTTTTCAAATGTTTTATATGGAGAAAGGAAAAATCATTAGAACTAGTAGAGGTCAGGAGCCGTGTTGTTGTGTGACCTTGATGGAGCAAAGGCAACTAACTTCTTTTCTTTTTAATTTTATATATTTTGTTGAGGTCAGCTAACTTCTTAGCTACATAGTTCCCTCACTTGTAAAAAGGGAGTAATATCACCTGTCAAAATGACAAAAGAAAAACATAAGAAAGTGTTCTCAGCTTCTCAGTGGAATTACACTTCGTTGTTGTTGTTAATTACAACAACAGCAGCGACATCCTCAGATACCCCATGTGTAAAATATAGGGGGTTGAGCCAGATGGCTCCTAAGTTCTCTTCATGCTCTGACCTTCCAGTTTCCAACCTCTATGGATGGCCATGGTCTGTAGACTAAATGACATGGACATTGCCGAAGACATGGATTTTGATGGACCTAGATAAGCTGACACACTCAAGCCAGACTGAGTCCAAAAACAAAAGTGTGGGACCAGAGGGAAGAAGTAAATTCACCTGGGTACTGAGCTTTCTCATTTTGTAATTACATGTTTTCATCGGTTTCCACCATAGACATTTTAGTGTACAGATGCTTCAGCTGGCCTTTTCATCACAAAAGACTGGCTGTAATTTTTTAAACTAACTGGAATCATAGCAAAATTGGGTCATTAACTTTCTCTAAGTGTCCACAACATAAATACAATTGATTGTTTGCTTAAGGCATTTAGTAGATATCATGGATTGAACTATATCCCCCCCAAAAAATGTATCGGTTTGGCTGGGCCATGATTCCCGGTATTGTATGATTTTTCCTAAATGCTGTAAATCCTGCCTCTGTGATGTTAATGAGGGAGGATGTGCAGCAGTTGTGTTAGTGAGTCAGGACTCAGTCTACAAGATTAGATTGTATCTTGAGGCAATCTCTTGAGATATAAAAGAGAGAAACAAGCAGAGAGACGGGATCTCATACCACCAAGAAAGCAGTACTGGGAGCAGAGCGCGTCCTTTGGATCCGGCGTCCTTGCGCAGAGAAGCTCCTAGTCCAGGGGAAGATTGATGAGAAGGCCAACAGAGAGAGAAAGCCATCCTCTGGAGCTGATGCCCTGAATTTGGACTTTTAGCCTATTTTACTATGAAGAAATAAATTTCTCGTTGTTAAAGCCATCCATTTGTGGTATTTCTGTTATAGCAACACTAGATAACTGTCATGGTTTGGATTATGTCCCCCCAAAAGTGTGTGTATCAATTTGGCTAGGCCATGATTCCTGGTAGTGTGTGATTTTCCTGTATGTTGTAAACCTGCCTCTATGATGTTAATGAGGGAGGATGAGTGGCAGTTGTGTTAGTAAGGCAGGACCTGATCTACAAGACTGGATTGTGTCCTGAGGCAATCTCTTGAGATATAAAAGACAGAAGTGAGCAGAGAGACAGTGCCAGGGGCAGAGCGCGTCCTTTGGACTGGGGTCCCTGCGCCGAGAAGCTCCTAGTCCGGGGGAACATTGATGAGAAGGCAGACAGAGAGAAAAAGCCTTCCCTTGGAGGTGATGCCCTGAATTTGGACTTTTAGCCTACTTTGACTGTGAGGAAATAAACTTCTCTTCGTTAAAACCATCCACTTGTGGTATTTCTGTTATGGCAGCACTAGATGACTAAGACAATAACTAAGACAGTAGAAAAGTAAGTGAACTTTCCAATTCTGGCTGTTTACAACTTTTACTTTTCTTATCTCTTTTGAAAACATTTTGCAGCTGAGGGGCCCGTATTTTCTTCTGGCCATGATTTAAAGGAACTGACGGATAAGCAAGGCCATGATTATCATGTTGAAGTATTTCAAACCTGTTCCGAGGTAAGCCAGGGTGACAGTCAACATTGCAAACCCTAAAGTGATAATTACAGTAAATATTGAATTAGGCTTCTAGTTTACAGATTGGATTTTATATACGAGACCTAACCTCTGCAGAGCTACTGAAAATTCTGTGGTCATTGATGAATCCTGCATCCAAGCAATTATTTGGCTTAGACTTTTAAGAAGTGACCATAATTTGCTATTGGTTTTGTTCCAAAGAAAATAAAATATACTATGGTTCTGATAGTTGTCATCTCCAGCATTGTGGGGGTTTCTATAGCTTGTCTTCATATATATGTTTCAGGTAAGAGGTAAAAATGGTAGGAATGTACATCTTTAGAAGCGAAGAATATGAGATTATTATAATGTTTTTAAATTTTAAATAAAACAACTTGATTTTTTAAATAATTTTCTAACCCTTCTTTGAACCTTTATAATCACTACCTCCAAGTAGGAAAATTAACCTCTTCATTTTTACTGCTTCTTCCTTTCTGTCTCTTTAACCATATTAAAAAGGGAAATTGCCAACAGGCATAGAGGAGGAAGAGGGACAAAATTTATATTTATAAATTTATTAAATCAACCCCTGAATAATCAAAAATTGAATATAGAATCCAACTTTAAGTAACACATGGTTCATTTGATGAGTATTTATTGAGCACCTACGTTATGCCTAATACTAGCAAGGTATTAAAGGAAACACAAGAAATGTTTCCTGCCAAACTTAAACTGGAAATCTAATTGGATAACGAGACATATACACAAAAAAATTTAGTTACCTGACCCTAAGATTACTTAACCTAATTTTGCATTCATTCATTGACTCATTCTGTCATTTATCTCTCAACAAATATTTAATGAGTACCTTCTAAATAGGGTCGCTATGAGTCGGAATCAACTCGACGGCAACAGGTTTAGTTTTTGGTATAAGTAGGCAAAACAGAGGTCAGTTCCAGAGAGGTGAATGCGAAAGTGATTAAGATACATTCTTGACCATTGTTCTCTTGTTCTTCCGGAAATTCATAAGGAAATCAGGTTATATTTTTCTCATTTCATGGAGGGACAGGTAGGAAAAGTGATTTACTTGAGGCTTCATGGCAAGCTACAGCTAAGACTCAGATCTTTTGTTTCCTACATAAATGATGTTTATGTAACATTTTGCTCTTGTGTTTGCCAAGGCTTGATGCTTTAAAAATTATGTTTCTACTAATACTCAGTATGTTTGGCTAAAATAGAAAATAATCAAAGAGAACCCTTCTATTCTTCTATTCTACCTAAAGGGTCTGCTTTTATCATTCTACTGTGATAATCTTCATGAACTGAGATCTAAAGGGTTAGCAAAGGGCCACAGAGGAGCCAGGGCTTCTTCAGAGGATATAAGGCCAGATTTTTTGGACAATTCCAACCCATGGATGCCCCTGGCTCACTAAGAAACAGTGAATAATTAAGACCTATCCCTAATGTAGTAAAATAGGGGTGAAAGGATACTGATTTCTTCAATACTGTTTCTAAGAAAATCAAATTGTCTTGCATAAATATGAGCACCATGAACTTGTGCAAGATTTCAATTTCCAAGTGTAATCAACGGCAGATTAGAACAGAATGAGCTAGATATTTTATTGTTCAGTTCATGCATGAGAAAATTTGACTTTGGAAAGGAAGAGAGAGGTACCTGAATTAGCATCTAAAAACTATAGCTTATTTGGCACAGACCACAAATGCTGCATGATAGTTAATTATTTACAAAGTCAGGAATCGGGCAAATTAAGAATGAAAATAAGAAGAAAAACTTGGTTGTGGGAGAGCAAAAGTAGCCTCTTGTGGAGCTGAGTTGGTGGCTAACACCAGACATCTGTCCCTTGTCTCTCTTCTTAACATTCTATTCAAGTTTGGAGATAGAAATCCCAGCCCAAGAGGAGATACTTCTCTTTCTTCTCATACCCCACCAGTGAAACAATACTGGACAATGTCTCTCACTTTTGGAAATAACTTGGACCCATCAGTGATGCTGTTAAATGAGAAGAGGGCAGAGTTAAGTTTATGTCATATTTTGGAGTAGGCGGGACCAAAAAAAACCACTTGATTCAGAGAGATAAAACAGGAGGTGTAATCAATTCTTGACTATCAAGGGGTGGGTTATCCTCGCTTGTTTATTTTCTAGGCTCCCTTTTTCTTTTCTGAATTGCTCTCTAACTTTATTTAAAATAGTTTTCGTTATGTAAGAAGAACTTACTATAGAAAAATTGGAAAATCTAGAAAAACAAAAGGAAGAAAAATAAGTTATTGATACCATACAATAATCATCACACCCAAAGAGAACTATAATTAACATTTTGGTATTTTTTAAAATCTTTTTTCTAAGTGTACCTTTTTATTTGTTTGGATAATCATACATATGTATAATTATACTACTATGTTTATTGCATAATATGATTATAGCTTTAGACATATTAATTTATTCAATTCTCATGATTTTATAAGAATGGTACTGTTATCCATTATATCCATTTTGTGAGGCGTTGGTGGTTCAGTGATAGAATTCTTGCCTTCCATGCAAGAGACCCAGGTTTGATTTCTGGCCAATGCACCTCATGTGCAGCCAACACCCATCTGTCAGTGGTTGCTGTTGTCAAAGAGTAAGAACACTCATTCTGTTAAAGTAAAAACAACGAGATTTACAGAGGGTAATACAATTTGCAAATTGAGGAAACACAGGGCAGGGAGGAATCTGCCAAGTGCCCTGAAGCATGGAGGGAGAGGTGTGCTTTTATAGTAAAGATGAGGAGGTATGCATGATGGTCACATGGTCACAAGGTGGGTACTCATTAGCAACTCCATTTTCAACTACCTGTTTCCTGGATCATCTTGAGTAAACTGGTTCTCCTATAATCACATTCCTGACCCCCACCCTTATTTACTTAAGAATGGCTTGGGGCAAGAGTCGGGCCTGATAAGATAATTGATAGGGGACCAGGGTCTTCTGATCCCACCCAGCCAGAGGCCCAAAGCCCTATGCATATGAATGGGAAGAAGTCAAGGTTACATTCTCAGGAATGCAGAAGCTGAAGCTTGCAACAAAATGGAGTTTTGATTCAGACATCATGTCAGCCATTTTATTATGTCAGGTACCTCAGTTTTAGAGGTTTGCTAGCACACTATGATGCTGAACAGGTTTCAGTGGAGCTTCTAGACTAAGGCAGACTAAAAAGAAAAGCCTGGCAATCTACTTCCAAAAATCAGCTAGTGAAAATACAGTGGATCACGACTGTCCGATCTGCCACAGATCATGGAGATGGCACACAGCTGGGAAGCATTTTGTTCCATTGTGCATGGGGTCCCCATGAGTTGGGGGCTGACTCTCTGGCCTATTTTACAAACGTGAAAACTTAGAAGTTAAGTGGCTTGCCTAGGGTTGGGCAGCAAGTAAGTGGCAGACTGGATGGCATACCCAACCAGCCTGGTTCTAGACTACTACACTATAACTCTAGACAACCATGTTAATTCCAAATACCAGTGTAGTTTATATAACCATTTACTTATTTTTGTATATTTATATTATTTATAATTTTTTACTATTATAAAATAATACTATCTAATATTATAAAATAATAATTTGGCTAACATCTTTGTCCATACAGCTTTTTTTCCTATTTCATATTATTTCTAAGAAGTAGAGTTCCTAAATCAATGGTATAAATATTTTTAATGCTACTGCTGAATACTGTATTGCCTAAGTATTTTTCCACCCAGTTTTATGAAATCCTAGCCCTTCATAGATGGTGGACAGAGGAGACATAGACTTTTCAACTAATCAGAGTCAATTGGCTTTTTATAGATAACTTCAAATCATTAAGTAAAGGGACAACACTCAGAGCTAAAACAAAATCTTTTCTCTTTATAGCAAGACTTGAGAGGTTCTTGTGCATTCTTCCCCTTGTTATTCCAGTATACTGAGAAAGTGCTCTCTCTTCAATCTCGTCCTACTCTTATCCTAGAGTGTGTCCCGTTGCCGTTAAGTCAATTCCCACTCCTAGCAACCCTATAGGACAGAGTAGAACTTCCTGAAAGTGTTTCCAAGGCTGTAATCTTTATAGAAGCAGACTGCCACATCTTTCTCCCTCTGAGCAGCTGGTGGATTTGAACTGCCAACCTTTCAGTTAGCAGCTGAGCGCTTAACCACTGTGCCTCCAGGGCTCTCTAGGGTGCATGGACCCTCTAAATTCATGACTTTTTGTTTACAGGGGATATGCATTCTTCTGTGAAGAAGGTCTTAGCATTTACCCGATTCTCAAAAAGTGACCTCCCAAAAGAGTCAAAAACCACTGCTATAGAATATAATATCATATCCTTAAATATATAATTGAAGTTTTATAAGAAAACTAAAGAATATGAAACATTGATGAATATAAAAGATAAGTTTCTTAGGCAAAATCTTTAAACCAATCAAGGTCATTTTCCTCTGGATTGCTGCCTTGGGGAAACAAGCCTAGATTTCCTTGCTATTCTGTCCCCTCCCTCCGAAAGTTCAAAGAACAAGAATTACAAAATGAAGTTCCCCTAGCAACACAGTCGCTTTAGAGTATCATGAAAAAGTGGAGAAATAAACTAAGCTATTTTGTAATCTGCAAAAGTAAGTTAAAAGTTTTGGAGATTTACTGAGGAGGGATCACATGAGCAAGTTTTTGTCTCCTATCTGTGCCAATGACAGCAGGGTGTCCCTCCCCCCAATCCCCAAATTTTAATTGAATAGAGAGAGTATTCATTGTGGTAATTTGAGAAGTAATTACTAAGGAAATTGCCTTCAAGCCCCTTTTCTACCTTAATTTTTCAAGGAGGCACCAAATATCAGTTTGTGACTTTTAACACAAGAGCTACACACAAGACCAAAAACCAAACCTGTTGCGTTGAGTGGATTCGAACTCATAGCAACCCTATAGGACAGAGTAGAACTGCGCATAGGGTTTCCAAGGCTGTAATCTTTATGGAAACAGACTGCCACATCTTTCTCCCGCAGAGCAGTTGGTGGGTTTGATCTGCCAACCTTTTGGTTAGCAGCTGAGTGCTTAACCACTGCGCCACCAGGGCTCCTTAGAGCTGCACACAGGCGTGGTTAAAACAGAACTATTTGTGAAAGCTTTTTGTTTGTTTGTTTCCATAGTTACAAAATCAGCACTTTTCTTCACTGAGGCTGCTAGAGCAGCAGTCAGAGTGAATTGAACACTCACAGAGGCACCATGCTATGGTGGAAGGAGTATGGGCTTGGGGAGGCAGACAGATATGGGTTCAAATCCTAGATCCACCATTTACAGTTTATGTGACTTTAGGTAAAGCAGTTGCCCTCTCTGAACCTTGGTGTCCTTGTGGTAAAATAGGGTTCCTTCCTCATGAGGTTCTCATGAAGACCAAATTTTGTAGTCCAGTTCATAGTAGATAGTTAATACAAGTTAGTTCTTTTTGTGGAGTCCCTGGCTGGTGCAAATGGTTAAGCAATCGACTACTAGCTGAAAGGTTGGCAGTTAAAACCCACCCAGAGGCATCTCGGAAGACTGGCCTTGCAATCTGCTTCTGAAAGGTCACCCGTTAAACCCATTGCCATCAAGTCAATTCCGAATTGAAATCCCTATACAGCACAGTTCTACTCTGACACACATGGGTTCGCTATGAGTTGGAATCAACTTGTTGGCGACTAACAGCAGCAGTTATTTTCGTGCCTTCCTTTTCCCTTTTTTCATAGAATCTGGTGAAATAATGCATAGGAAAGGTACTCTGAAAACAGTAAAGTCACATGCAGTAATAGGTATTAATATTGTACCTCACTCTTGGATGGAAGTGAAATGGTGTCTTTCTTCCTTCAGGTCATGATGCAGATCCAGAATCACCCGGTTCCCGTCATTGCCATGGTGAATGGCTTGGCCACAGCTGCTGGTTGCCAGCTGGTTGCCAGCTGTGACATCGCCGTGGCGAGTGACAAGTCCTCTTTTGCCACTCCTGGTGTGAACATTGGGCTCTTCTGTTCCACCCCAGGGGTTGCCTTGGGAAGAACAGTGCCTAGAAAGGTAATTTAACTTCCTTTGGCCCCTTCTCTAGTTTTAATATTCTAGCTCTTGTGATGGTTAGTTTCAGAATTAGCTTGTCAAAATGCCATTTATATCAGGACATTCTGCCCAGAGCATATATGGCTAGATGTACCAAATATTCTTTCTAATGTCTTTGGTTAGGGAGGGAACAACCAACTGCCTGTTCTGTTTAGCTTCTTACAGTAAACATCAATTTTGAAGTTACCGCATTTTGATCTTGCATTCCCCTCAATATGACTAGTTCGATTTCTTGTTTTTTGCTTTGTTGTTTCTGTAAAGGTACATATTTTTGTAATCTTATTTGAAATGTAATTGAGACTCAGTTTTGTTGCACTGAATGGTTGCCCATGAGATATAACAGCATACTGAAGTAATGCCAGTATCAAGAGGCTAGGATAATAGTGTTACTGACTTATTGTCTGTCTGTTGATAATCTGACTTGCTCCAGAAAGGACTTAAAGTAGCTTATTTACTGAGTGTGTCTGGTTGACCATGGTTGCATCTGAGGAACATGAATAGTCCTGTGAATAGTACGTTAAATTTGCCCAAGAAGGAGCTATGTTCCAAAAGCTGTTTTGTCATTGCTAACCACAGTGAAATCCATTTTCTTCATGAAGCTTTATTTCTTCCTATAACATCATGAAATAATATTTATTGAACATCTAAACCAGCAGTGTCCTTGTTCTAGAAAAAGTGCATCTTCATTCTCAATTAGAAGTCTGTTAAAAAGGAGCAAAGTCATACACCATAGCAAGTAGGGAACCTAATTTGCTTTCTAGAATATATTATCTATTTTAGCATTAACTACGAAAATTAGCAGTTGCCCATATGCCTAAGGCACAAAAGAAATGAGGCCCAAGGGAAATCAAGCAGCGGGACCAAGAAGTTTAGGGAAGTACTCCTTTCTTTTACATTGCCTCCTTATTAATTTTTATAGCAATGTGTGTGCGTAAATTCTGAAGACAGACACCTACAAGCACACACACTTATAAAAACTGGCTGAGGGGTAGGGGGGTAAATACTAAATAGACAATAGGTAAGTGGTAACTTTGGTGAAGGATTAAGACAGTACACAATACTGGGGAAGCCAGCACAACTTGTACAAGGCAAGGTTATGGAAGCTCCATAGACACATCCAAACTCCCTGAGGGACTGAATTGCTGGGCAGAGGGCTGTGGGGACCATGGTCTTGGGGAACATCTAGCTCAATTGGCATAACATAGTTTATAAAGAAAATGTTCTGCATTCTACCTTGGCGAGTAGCGTCTGGGGTCTTAAAAGCCTGTGAGCAGCCATCTGAGATACTCTGCTGGTCTCACCCCTTCAGGAGCAAGGGATACAAGGGAAAGATTAGTCCAAAGGACTAATGGACCACAACTAGCACGGCCTCCACCAGACTGAGTCCAGTACAACTAGATGGTGCCCGGCTACCACCTCTGACTGCTCTGAGTGGGATCACAACAGAGGGTCCTGGACAGAGCTGGAGAAAAATGTAGAACAAAATTCTAACTCACAAAAACAAGACCAGACTTACTGGCCTGACAGAGACTGAAGAAACCCTGAGAGTATGGCCCCCTGACACCCTTTTAGCTCAGTAATGAAGTCACTCCTAAGGTTCACCTTTCAGCCAAAGATTAGACAGCCCCATAAAACAAAAGGAGACTAATGGGGTATAACAGCCCAGGGACAAGGACTAGAAGGCAAGAGGTGGGAGGCAGGGCCAAGATGGCAGAGTAGTCAGATGCTTCTGATGGACCCTCTTACAACAAAGACCCGAAAAATTGAATCAATTTTATTTGACAATCTAGGAGCCCTGAACATGTAAGGCAAAGTTGCGGAACCGGACTGAGTGGCAGGGGGAGGGAGAGATGGTTCGGAAGCAGCAAGGAGTTGCCAGACCTGATCCGGTGAGAACGTGAGCCCTTCAAGCCTCAGCAGCTCATGGGTGAGCGGTGAGGCAAGCAAGGGGCAGTGCTCAGGAGGCACATTTTCCACACTGGGAGAGACCCAGCACCAGAGAGTCTACTCAGCCACCCAGAACCATGAGAAGCAGTCCACGATTGGCGAAAGATAAGTACTTAAGTATGGCCTACCACGCAGATCAAAAACACCCCCCTTAGGGAAAAATCTCTCTCTCGTTTACCTGCCGGCTTCCTGCTCTGCACTGGGTCACAGACCGGCTTCAGCAATTGCCGAGTCCCCTGAGCCAGAAGTAGGATCCATCACATGCCCTGAGCCATTCTCCCGGCCTTGGAGAGTGAACAAATTAACAAATGGGAAAAAATAAACTGCCAGCTCCCATAAGCCAGGAACCCAGGGTAGGCACAGCTCCTTTGCCTAGGCACAGGCATAAGGGATCCACAGACTTTGAGTGCCTTTCCACCTGCAGAGACTTGTGTGGGCCCATTTCAACAGCATAGGCCCTCATTACCCCAGTACAGTAGGGTACATTCCTGAACTCTAACTTGAATTGTTTCAGCTGTGAAGTGGCAGGTTCATGACATTTGACACTGCTCTGCCCATTAAGCAGGGTCTTCACCTACACACATCAGGGGTCTGAGGACTGGTGGGTGCACCCACACCACCTAGCCAACTGCAATAGGGACCCAAGGATAAGATGTGCCCGCCAGTCCTTACAGCCAACAGCATTGGGTGCTCATAGTCCAGCTGCAAAACCCACCCACCTACGCGCTCTAGGGAACAGGGACATGCCTTCCTCCTGGACACTTGGGGGCAGCCATCAGCCCCCTGCCTTGCTCAGAGTGTATCCCCCTGCTGCAGCCAGATGCCTGCGCCTACACCAATCAGCCATGCCTGTCTAGGACTGTAAGTGAGAGTCTGCACCACACACTTGGTGGCTATCTACCTGGGCACCTGAGCTGAATCCACACAGGAGGAGTGGATGGACTCCTGAGCTCAGGTACCTAGTAAAAGATCTAACCACCTGGTGACAGGACATTAGAGCTTCAAAGGTGCCAATAATCAAACTAGCTCATATGAGCAGCCTATTTGGGCATATTAAAACAAAACAAGAAGCTAGAACACAGTAGGCAAACATAAATAAATATAATAACTTATTGATGGCTCGGAGACAACCGTCAATATCAAATCACATAAAGAAGCAATCCATGATGGCTTCAGCAAGCTCCCAAAATAAAGAATCTAGAAATTTTCCAGAGGAGGAAAATTTCTTGAAATTACCAGAGGCAGAATACAAAAGATTAACATACAGAACTCTTCAAGAAATTAGGAAGGAAATTAAGCAAAACGCAGAACACGCAATAGAGGAAATTAAAAAGATTAGAGAAGAGCATAATGACAAATTTAACAGGCTGCAAGAATCCACAGAGAGACAGCAATCAGAAATCCAGAAGATTAACAATAAAGTGTCAGAATTAGACAACTGAATAGAAAGTCATAGGAGCAGAATTGAGGCAATGAAAGTCAGAATTAGTGAGATTGAAAATAAAGTACTTGATGCCAACTTATTTGAGGAAAAATCAGATAAAAGGGTTAAAAAAAAAAATGAAAAAGCCCTAAGAATTATTTGGGACTCGAGTAACCTACGAGTGATTGGAGTACCAGAACAGGGAGGGATAACAGAAAATACATAGAGAATTGTTGAAGATTTGTTGGCAGAAAACTTCCCTGTTATCGTGAAAGATGACAAGATATCCAAGTTGCTCATCGAACCCCACGTAAGGTAGATCCCAAAAGAAAGTTGCCAAGACAAATTATAATCAAACTTGCCAAAACCAAAGATAAAGAGAGAATTTTAAGAGCGGCTAGGGAAAAACGATAAGTCATTTACAAAGGAGAGTCAATAAGAATAGAAAGCAGGAGGGGACAGGAAAGCTGGTAATAGGGAACCCAAGGTTGAGAAGGGAGAGTGTTGAAATGTCATGGAGTTGTTAACCAATGTCATAAAACAGTATGTTTACTGTTTAATGAGAAACTATTTGTTCTGTAAACCTTCATCTAAAGTACAATTAAAAAAAAAAAAAAAAAGCTGACTGAAAGTGGGCTCCAGACTGCAAAGGGTGACCTGTTAAAATATAACAGCTCACTAAAATATCTTTACACTGAGGCTGTTTTTGATTGCTAAATGTAAGTATGTTCATTCAGTAAATATTTCTTAAGTCCCTACCAGGACATTAAATTAAAATCCATTACCAAACTATTGGCAGGGTTTACTAATAAACTAACTTATAATTGTGCAAATCAGATCATAAGACCTTTGCATAGTAAAGGCGGTTGTGCTGGTTTGCCTGCCCGACAGCTGTTCATCTTCTTCAGCACCTGATGTGCTGGAAGGGTTCCACGCTAATGCATCTGAAACCTTTAAATGAGTACTACCGTCAGGATAAGAATCCATTCTTTCTTAAAAACAAACAAAACAGTTCTGAAATCAAGACTTATCATAATGCATGTGTCTTAGTCATCTAGTGCTGCTCCAACAGAAATACCACAAGTGGATGGCTTTACAAAGAGAAATGTATTCTCTCACAGTCCAGTAGGCTACAAGTCCAAATTCAGGGCATCAGCTCCAGGGGAACGCTTTCTCCATCAGCTCTGGAGGAAAGTCCATGTCATCGGTCTTCCCCTGGACTGGGAGCATCTCTGCACAGTAACCTCAGGTCCAAAGGATGCGCTGTGCTCCCAGCACTGCTTTCTTGGTGGTATGAGGTTCCCATGTATCTCTGCTTGCTTCTTTCTTTTATATCTCAAAAGAGATTGCATTAAGACACTGATCTTGTCAACCTCATCAGTATAAACTCATCACGGTGATAGAATTTACAACACATGAGGAGATCACATATAATCTCGTCATAGTGGTAGAGTTTACAACACATAAGGACATCACATCAGATAACACAGTCATACAATACTGGGAATCATGACCCAGCCAAGTTGCTACACACATTTTTTGGGGGACACAATTCAATCCATGACAGCATGCATCCTAGAAACCTAAACAC